GTTAAACCCCAATTGGAAATTTCACAAATGGGAACCAGTTCCCTTGCCAACCTCAAAAGTACTTGAAAAACTCCCCACGATTACAGGCCCAAAGGGGTTCATTCACACAGCGGGCTTATAGAGTGTATATAAGTGGACTTCGGAAGGTTTAGAAACATGCCGAGATAAAGACTGCATTATAGGCTATCAGCTTCACAGTGCCATGTCCTATTGAAAGACCTTTCGGTGTCTCCTTCCAAGACAAAAAGAGAATCCAAGCTCCTAACAAGGCAAGATGGCGCCCTATGGTCTGGTCTCAACTCCTTATCTCAGCCTCCTCTCAACTCATTTTGGTCCATGCACGTTCCAGTGATAGGGCACCCTGGGCATGCTGACATCAAGCTTCTCTGCCATGCTATATGCTGTTGCCGTCTTTATCTTCCTAGCGAACTCTTTCTCATCCAATAAAGCCCAATTTTAAAGATTTTAAAGGATTTTTCTCCTATGCTGAAAATTCACCAATAGATTATCATTCCCCTCAGAGGAGACACTCAGATCTTCTCCATGCCCAGAAGCCTGGATGATCAGGTTCTCTCCTATACCATCAGCCCCATCTTCCAGCACCTATAGATGGACCTGGGAGGGCAGGGTCTGAGTATGAGCATTAATCCTGGGGAAAGGGAGAAGGTCAGTGCATGCAGGGAGCCACGGGGAAGATGGCATCCCAGAGGCCAGAGTGTACCAAGGTCTTGCAGACAATCTGCCATATTGGGTTTAGGTGCAAGGAGCAGAGAAGGAGGTGGACGAGGCGACCGGCAGATGTTTTCAAATTTACACATTCATTCAATTGAAACATGCCAAGCACACTCCATGGACCCATCACCTAATCCTTATAATAAGGAGTAGGTATTACTCTAGATTAAAAAGAAAAAAATAGGTGAGAAAGTAGGAGTTCAAGGAAGTTAGGGATTCTGCTGGATCCACACAGCTAGTAAGTGGCAGGGCTGGAATTTGACTCAAACTCAATTTTGTATGACTCCTAAGCCTAAACTCTTTTTTCTTGCTCTGTAGAGGATCAGCTGAAGGAGTACAGCAAGAGATTAGCAAAGAGAACACAGAGCTTCTGTGGCGTTTTGATTCCAGAGTTGTCAGATATCTCAGAAAGTAAAGGGTTTACAGCATTTGTATCAATACACATCAGTTCCTGCATTTTCCCAAACACATAATCACATCAACAAGGTGACCAGTCAGCAACAGTGGCAGCAAAGCCACAGTGGAAGGCCAGCAGGCTTTGAAGAGTTGAGGTTGGGCACATCTGATGGGGTGACCTTGGGTAAGCTACCTCACCTCTCAGACCCTCAGTTTTTTTATCCACCAGTGGGGACTTACTAGTGCTTTCTCAGAGGACTGTAAACATCCATGTACGTAAAGGGCCTCCTTGCAACAGTGGCTCTTAAAGTTTCCTCCAGGAAATGACATAAGGCACTTCCACTCACATTTAATTGGCCAAAGCAAATCACATGGCCACACTTTACTCCAAGGAAGAGTGGTCCTAGCATCTATCTGGGAAGAGGACAGAAATACTCAAACACCCTAGTGACCGTTCTTTCTCCCACACTCTTTTAAAAAAATCTTTCTTTCTTTCTTTCTTTCTTTCTTTATTTTGGCTGCATTGGGTCTTCATTGCTGCACGCGGGCTTTCTCTAGTTGCGGCGAGCGAGGGCTACTCTTTGTTGTGGTGTGCGGGCTTCTCATTGCAGTGGCTTCTCTTGTTGTGGAGCACAGGCTCTAGGCACGTGGGCTTCAGTAGTTGTGGCACATGGGCTCTAGAGCCCAGGCTCAGTAGTTGTGGTGCACAGGCTTAGTTGCTCCGCGGCACATGGGATCTTCCTGGACCAGGGCTCAAAACCGTGTCCTCTGTTTTGGCAGGTGGATTCTTAACTACTTTGCCACCAGGGAAGTCCCTCTCCCACATTCTTTTAAAATGAACGTATACTTTGGTTTGAAAAGCATTTTTGTGGTATAGCTTTTAAATAAATTGTCATCAGGTATAATATTAGAACTTCTATTTATGGAGTGACAATGTCGTCTTCAGATGTGGCCTAGGTGGATATTGAGGAAGGAATCAACTCCCAGAGAATGGAGTCAAGGATCACAAAGAACATGTCCCACCCCTAGGGTAGGGGCCCTTACAGCATCTGCCCAGAGGGATTTCAGAATTGCTGTGGACCAAAGACTGCTCTGTTTCTCTAACTATTCCTCTTACGTAGTGGAAATGTTTTTTGGTTATTCTGCTTCATTCCACTGTTGTATAGTGTGTGTGTCTGTGTGTGTGTGTGTGTGTGTGCACGTATGGAGGGGGTGATGGCTGTGGTGGTAGCAAATACTTCTTCTTGTTAGTGTATAGGTCTCCAGATCGAGTGGAGCCGCATCTGGGCCAGATATAGAGCCTCCTATGCATCTCAACCCAATGAAAAGATCATCAGGAATCACTCAGAGAACCTGTACATTGAGCTTGGAGCCAGTAACAGGTGGGACTTAGAGTTTGTCTCATTTAGAGAAGGGTGGCTATATTTTTAATGTGGGAAGGGCAGTCAAACGAACATCGCTGACTAAGTGGACAGACCATAGTGTTCATCAGTGTCGTTCATAAAATATTTCCAGTTTTTCTTCCAGACATATTGTATATTTCACTTCCAGGCTTTGTTGGAGTTAGGTGTGGCCATATGACTTGCTTTGGCCAATAATGTGTGAGTAAAAATGATTGGTGTCACTTGTAGGCAGAAGCTTTAAGGGCTTGTGCACCATCCATCATGCTTTCTTTTTCTTCTTTCTCAGCGTGCAGCAGTGTGGCTGCTCTGTCTGCTTGGGAAAAGCAGAGAGGAGCCCCCTCTCTTCTGCAGTGAATATGAAGTGAGAATTATTTTAAATAACTGAGAACTGGGGCTTGATTGTCACTACAGCACAACTTAGCCTATTCTAACTGATCCAAAGAGATCATCTTAATTCTTTATAAAATCACTTTATTTTGGTGGGGCTGGTCTGCCCAGTTGGCATGTAACTGGGAAAAAGTGGTTTCAACTGGCCTTGTTAGAGTTCGGGGCAGGTTTCCATTGCAGGCTGGGGTGACAGGGATCCAGATGTGGTCCCTGAGGGCCTCTAGGGAAGAGTAGTGGTAAGGTTCATGGTGAGGACATGACTGGGGCCCCCTTATCTTATGGGCAGCATCCAAGCTATGTTCCGGAATATCCACGGGCTGACTGGGGGTGTCCAGCTGGGGCACTGAGCCACACAAGAGGACCATCGCTCCAGCACAGCTGTGTTTAGTGAGTAATGATTCCTGTGCAACCTCTAAATCTGTGCCTTGCTATACTAATTAGTTTCATGGACTCTTGCCAGATGACACAGTCTTCCTTTCCTGTTATCCTGGGGAACTCTGCAATACTGAGGAAGCTCCTATCACATTCTACTGAAATGTCTGAGAAGCTTTCTACTATCACGTGATGTACGTCAGACTTCAAGTAGGTGACTTCTGCTCAAAAACACACTCTCTCACTCAGGCATAAAAAAGAATGAAATAATGCCATTTGCAGCAATGTGGACGGACCTAGAGATGATCACACTAAGTGAAGTAAGCCAGACAGAGAAAGACAAATGTCATATGATTGGTTTATACGTGGAATCTAAAAACAAAAGATACAAATGAACTTATACACAAAAAACAGAAATAGACTCACAGACATAGAAAACAGACTTATGGTTACCAAAGGGGAAAGTGGGGAGAGGGATAAATTAGGAGGTTGGGATTAACATATACACACTACTATATATAAAATAGATAAACAACAAGGACCTACTGTATAGCAGAGGAAACTATACTCAATAGTTTGTTATAACCTATAAGGGAAAAGAATCTGAAAAAGAATATATATACACACACATATATATCTCTGAATCACTTTGCTGTACACCTGAAACTAACCCAACATTGTAAATCAACTATACTCCAACTAAAAAATATATACTCTCTTCTGTTGCCTCATTGGTCCCAGTGCAGAGGGGCCTATGTCTCCCCTAGAGGGAGCCAGCCCTGTGAAGACTTACTCTTATACCCTAACCCACCTTTCCCCTAAGCCCCCATGGCGAATGGTCAAGGCCACAGATCTTAGTAACTTTCAAAGAATCCATCAACACGAGTTCGAGTCATCTCAAAGTGCTAACCTGCTTATTTGGGGAGCATTTTACTTCCCCTCTGCTCTCCCATTGGTACTTCAAAACACCCCAGCTGCTAAGGGGGCAAAGACAAAGATGCCAGCAAATCTGAGTGGGGAATAGAGAGGCTACTTGCATGCTCAGAGGGCTGGTTTTCCTGCCTCCAAAGAGATCAGCCTGGGTGCAGGGACTGGAGGAGGGGCAGCAGCAGAGGAAATGAGGAGGGAGCAGAGACCTTCAAGCGAGAAGGCAACAAGGAGCCTCCATCCCTGGGGAGCAGGGAAGGGGCTCAGAGCTTAGCAGAACTTGAGGGTGGCCTCTCGTGACTTTGAACCTATGCGCAATCCACCCGCTCCCTCCGTCCCACATATTTGTGAATTCCCGGTATAGAGGGTTGGGGTCTTGGACAACTTCATTGGGAATAAAGAGAGATCCTTGGCTCCTGACCTGTGTAGCAATCAACAGAGCCAACTGGCAATTTTGTTATAAGATTCCACATTCAGCCCCACACAGCCCCAGTTTGAAACCGGATAAGGTTCCAGAACAATAAAAGGCCATAGCAACTCAGAGGCAACCTGAAATTCTCATGTTTATCTCAAATCAAAATCTGGTCTCAAGCCAAGTGCTTTATTATTATACAAGCGTAGTGCCTGGATTCATCCTTATTTTTATAAGTCCTGTTTTATTAGTAAGGGATAGAAAATTTTCCTGGCTGATTCTCATACCACTTGCTTTGCCCTTTTCTCTGTCAGTATCTTTCATGGACTGTACACAGATGGGTCAGGAAGAAGGTCTGGACTTAGGGTTACCTTGCCAACAAGCGCCGACCGTAAGTTGCATGGCTATGTGAGATGGATGAATGGGCCAATCGTTGGTCACCAGGTATGGTTCATACGTTGCTCCATCCATGTATAAGGTAACCACAGGAAACTCCACATTGATGACATAGTAATGCCATTCTTTGTCACAAATCTAGCGGAAAGAAAGAGAAGCAACACTTAAAATTGAACATGCAGTGAAACATCAAACAGACTGTTATTCTAATTATGAAAGACGGAGAAGCGACCTTTAGATCAACAATGTTTATTGCAAAGAACTCAATGAACATAATGGTTGATATGCACTGAGGTTATAGAAACTCAAATCAAACGTGATGGGGCAAACCATGGAGTAGAGAAACACCTGAGAAGCTAATTATCAGGCAAACATTTGGCTATCGGCAGATTATCTTGGTCACATAATTACCAGCTCTCTAGGCTGGCAAGTTCTTGGTGGACAGGTGGAGGTGTCCGCTTAAATTTGCGCTGTATCAAATTTTTCTTAGTTTTTCAGTAGAGAGAGAGTAAAATTAAAATTGTTTTTCTAAGCTCCGGGATGGATGGAGCTATGAAAAGAAGGATGCTAGATTGGAAGTAGAAATGAAGAAGAAGATAGAGAAGGGGCAGAGGAAGGGAAAGAGAAAGAAGAAAATAGAAGAGGAAAAAATTAGGAGTTAGAAAGGATCAAGGAGAAAGCAATGACCATGGGAAGAGGAAGAAGAATGAGTTTCAGAAGAATAGGAACCTCCCCCCCTGCAATTCCTTTGTCTCTAGATTAAGGCTTGTCTGAGGAGCTGTTGTAGTCTCACCCTCCCTTCAACCCAAGCAAAATAAATTCTGAGACAGACAGTCTGCCCAAGGGGACTCAGTTTTATCCTTCCTTAGAGTGCCTGGGGAGCTAGAGAAGAACAACAAGTGGGTCCTCCTGGCTGGACTCAGTGCACAGCACTTTTGCACTCATGTCCCCTCACAACTTTTGCACCTGTGATTTCTGGTCTTAGGCCTGGGAATGAAAATCTAACCTTAATGGGTGGGTAGAGACATTGGGGGCCAGGATAAAGTCACAATTCCTGACCTCAAGATGCTCAACTCCCACAGCATCATGCAAAATAGAAACCAGTATGGCACGTCTTGGGAAAAGCGATAGGAAGCATAAAAGGTGACAAGGCTGGGGATGGGAGCCCCCTCCCTCCGGCCCCCTCCCTCCGGCCCCCTAAGCAAGTGTCTTGGAAGTCGCATTAGGCTCTCTCTCCTCCCCACTCCCTCTCCCTCAAATCCCTCTGTACCCTGTGGAGTCCACCTCGGAAGTGTCTCTCATCTGTGTCCTCTTGTCTCCATTGCCCCTGCCATCTGTGGCAACGCAGACAGATGAGTTCTGCATGAAGGTGACCCCAAGTGAGGACATCAAAGTCCTCCCTACACCCCGCTCTGGGTTAAATGTGCTGTTTCTCATGAATAGATAACACGAAAGGGATGCTAAATGATCTTTTCCCTTTCATTCTGGAATAAGATTTTTTTCCCCTTAATGTTCTTTTTATACGGTTCTGTCTCATGTCTCAGAAAATTGCTTCTTTTGAAATCCATTAACCTGATAAAGCCTGATGAATATTTTAGGGGCCCTTGGAAGGTAAGCAGGAGGGGTCCAGGCAGATGTCTCCAAAATCCTGTTACACTTCACTGAGTGTACAGCTCAGTACCTGATACATCTCACTAGAGGTCCTAACTCTATTTACACCCACCTCCTGCTTGATGCCTGAGACCAGACACTGGGCTGGGTACAGGGATCTTGGGGTGGGTCTCTGACCCAGGTGAGGCTGACCTAGCGGTGTAGGTGTGGCACAAAAGAAGATCTGAAGACACAGTCTAGGGGTGATGAAAGAGTGGGGAACTAAGGAGAGTTCTGAATGAGGAAGCATCTAATCCAAGGAGACCCAATGCACGCTGGACTTGGGGTTTGCAATCACGGATGGCCAGTCAGAACATCCTGGGGATGGTCTCTGAGGCATCAGGAAACCTCTGACCAGTCCCAGGGTGGAGAGCGGACAGATGGCAGTGCCGTGACCCTGTCCACACCTCATGCCCTTTGAAATACAGGCAGAACACAATCAGGCAGCACTGGGGGGCTCCCCTGCCCAGGCCACCATCACCACTCTTCCAGTGGCCTCCCTCTCGGGCCTGGCTGCCATGTTGAATCCATGCACTGGCTGACTCTACATCACTCTGCATCTGCCGTAGCTGGATGGAGGCTGGTTCTCTGGCCTGCTTTCTTTCACAACACTTACAGCATTTTTGTAGGACAATACAAAAAAATTCCAAGGAGGAAGCAAAATAAGTCCGTAGCTTCACAGGAGTAGCAATCCCTGTCAATGTTACAATCTTCTCCTAGGCATCCCCACATCCCCCAGCTTTTCTGAAATGTGCTCCATGAACAGCAGCCCTTGTGATGTCCCACCTAAAAACAGTGATGTCCCACCTTAAAAAACAGTGAAGCCTTGGTTTTTGTTTTTGTTTTTTCATTTCCCATGTCATTAGCCTATCCAAGGTTCCCAGCAGCCTCAAAGTATACACCTGTAACAATTTTTCAACCTTTTGGGAAAACGAAACTTTTCCATTTATAGCATTCCTATAAGCATCCCATGAAACAAGAGTTGGGAAAGGTCTATTTGGAACACACTGTACATACAACTTGAAAGTTTGCTTATCTCACTTAACATCAGTATTAAAATGCCTTTACTGTCTTCATTTTACATGGCTGTATAATATGGATACACTACATGATACTATACTATATTTTATACTTCATTATTCCCTTATTCTCAGGTATTCATTGTGTACCAGCAATTACAAATGATACCACAATGCATTTCTTTTTGCACAAATATTTCTCTGCATTTCTGATTATATCCTTGGAAGAGATTCCTGGAATGGAATTACTGGATCAAACGTTGGAGGTATTTTTGAAGGCTCTTGACAATACATCATCCAATTTTTTCCTGCAATAATTTGTGCTTATTTATACTCCTGCCACACAGTGTGAGACTGCTCGTGCACTGTACCTTTACCACATTGAGTATTTAAAAAAATAGAAAATCCTGGCAATTTGGAAGGGGGATACGTTCTATCTTATTTTAATATGGCAATTTGGAAGGGGGGTACGTTTTTATCTTATTTTAACACGGGTCACAAAAGATGGCAAGATTTATATTTTCCGAGGTCAGAAGGTAGGGCCTTCTGGGAGTGGGGAGCAGCCTGAGCTGACCTAGAGGTAGTAAAGGTTGGGAGCTTCCCCAGTGAGCTCCTAACTCGGCATCCAAACAGAGGCTATCAGTCAGACTGGGCTTACTCCTGCAGACTTCCTGCACCAAGTAATCTATGAAGGCAGCTAAAGGAAACGCCTAATTAGGGTTTCATATATGTGGATCTATGATGAGAAAGAGACCCTCATTAACCCTCTGCAGGGATAAACGGTAACTGAAAAATGATCAAGCCAGGAGGCAGCAAAAATAACTGTGTCAAGGCAATGGCTCCACCGTGAAAGGAGGAAATTAGGCAAAGTGACCTTTCCTGGGGGGAGAGAGGAACTTTCATTGCTGAGTGTGCATGAATCCCTAGGGAACCCAGCTGGCACCAGGCATGTCCAATGCCATCCGCAGAGACAATGCCCAAGCCCTCAGCTGGACCAAAGACACTTTGCCCTCTGGAAACCTGCAGGTGTTTTCCCGCGGTGTCTGGTGGCAGCTGCTCTTTAGCTGGGGAGTGAATCAGAGACCGAGGCCCAGGGGCAAACGCTGGATATCCGCCCAAAAGGGTGGGTGGCAGGGACAATGCCAAGGAGGTCTGAGTTGGGAGCAGGCTGGTACTGCAGGGTTGACTTGGAGACTGGGGAAGCCTCCCATGAGAGGGGAGGAGATCAGGCTGCCCACAAGTTGGTCCAAATGTCCTTGAATGGGCCACACTGGAAGTTCTGAGTTGATTTTCCTAGGGAGTCAGGTATTTTTGAATGCAGTTATTCAATGTGAGATACGTTTACCTATGAACCAACGTGCGAGGGAATGTACTAAGGGCTGCTTGGGATGCAGCACTTATCAGATACATGCTTTGCCTGCAAGATTTTCAATCTGGGGCAGGGCGTGGTGGTGGTGGTTAGGTATCAAATACACAGAAGACTCAGATGCAATCAGAACTGAGATAAGTCTTACAGACAAGGTGCAAAGCACTGTGAGATCCAGACTTCTGGTTGGGAGAAGGTGGCATTTAGGGTGGCTAAAACTGTTAAGATTTCATTAGGAATAGACTGGCAAGGAAAAATTCCAGGAAAATGGAGCAGAAACCTTTTATTCCCTCATTCATCTGTCCTTTCAATTGGCAAAGAAGCTAGTAGGTTTGGGGCAAATGGAGATGCACTCATTCACTCACTCCTATAGACATTTACTAACTGCATATCCTGCTTTTTGAAGAAAAGAAGGCACCTGCCCTCATGGAGCTTCCAGTTCAGACACAGAATTGACAGAAAAGCTTGTAATAGTTGTGACTCACGGCCACAGGTCTGTGCAAGGCACCAGGGTGATGCCGTGGAGGGGGCGGGCGTCTGATTGCACTGGGAGGAGGGAAGGAGCACAGACACAGAGCTTGGAGGGGTCACGTTGGTTTGGGCAAGGTGAGGAGAGGCAGATGAGGCTGCAAGGATAGCTTGGAACTGAGGCCCAAGGACTCGAACAGCTTTTCTTCTGTAGGCAACAGGACTTATGGGCATTTGGGGGCTGCAGGAGGATGGTCGTCATAGCAGCAATCCATCTTGGAACAAGCTTCTCAATGTCAAAGCAGCTTTTCCTCTCCCTTGTACTATTTAATCCTCACTGCAACCCTGTAAAGCAGGAGGACCAGTTCTGTCTTGGGCAGAAAATTATTAGAAAATACAGGGAAAGAAATGACATGGTTTCTAACCTCAAGGCGTTGCTATTGGATGTTAAGTGAACCACAGCCCCATGGTGGGCTTCCCCGCTTGGCCTCTCTTCTTTCCATTCCATACACAGCCACTGGCTCAGCTTTGCATACAGACTGCCAAATCAGGATCTTGAGCAGATACTTATCTTCTGAGCGATGGACTCACATGTCAAATTGCCCCTGAATGGTCCACTAGATGTTCCACAGGCA